TATATGTAGTGCCCTCTTAGTTTAGCTAGAGGGAGCTAGAGTCCTGATTGCCAGTGAGGAAGGCTGAGTAGCAGCCTGTGTGCAATAGCCAGAAGGTCAAATTGTGGTCAGGGCTGAGAGGCTCTATAGGCCAGCCCCTCCTGAATTTCCCTCTGCTCTAGGGCTTTTGGAAGAAGGCCCTAGAGGCAGTGGGTGGATCTGAGGATTGGCTGGCTGCACTTATGAGGGATCCTAGGCAATCCCCAGCAAGAGGTTGGGAAAGGGATGGATACCCTTAAAAGTGTTGGAGCCTGCTCAGTAGCAGGAGACTGGGGAGTAGAGAGTTGGAAGGAGAGTTCGGGTGGAATATGTGAGGTTGAAAGAAGGAGACTGAGAGGAGGCCCAGTGGAATGGAGCCTACCTGCCGCCCTGGAGCTGGAAAGGAGGAAAGCTCAGAGCTCACCAGCCCCCTGAGAGAGGACCACCTGTATGGCAGGGAAGGAGCGGCCCAGTGGATGGGCCTGGTAGCAGTCACCAACCCACAAGTGGTACAGGAGAGGATCAGTGTGAGTACATCTACATACCCTGGGCAGATAGGGGAAGGAGCACTCTGGTGGAAAACCAGATTAGCCACCTACCAGTGACTGTTTCACCTCTTAAATTGACAGGAACCAGATCCCCTGTTTAGGGATACCTCTGGACTGCTGGGTGAAGAGAAGTTCATCTAGGGTCTGGGGTGGTACAGTAAGGAGATGCTGGCTAGCTCTCCAACAAAGACTGGGCTGCAGAGAAGGCTTGTAAATAGTTCAAGGAAGTTGTCCTCAGTTTATCAATACCCTTGGGAATCCTATACACCCCTAACCCTATCCCAGTTCAAATCCCCTAAATAAAACAACAAAAAAATTCAAAGCTCAAGGACTGATATTTTATTCTGGGTGCAAGCCTGTGTGATGCCTGGCTGTGCAGAACTATAGGGGGACCCAAATCTTTTAGTGACTCCTAAGGGGGTAGTGCTATATATAGCAGAGTTACCTCTTTGAACCTGGCTTTTGAATTCAGAAACAAGACAGAAATGTAACTAGCATTTGCAGGAAGAATAACCGAGTTACTGACAAAGAATTCAAAGATTAAGGCCCCATTCACATTAGGCGTAGCATTACCATTTTTTCTTGCACGTCACGCAACCCATTCACTTGCACTATGTGTGACTGTGAAGGAAAATGTTATAGCTGCTTTACATATCAAACATTTCGTTTTTATTAAGTAGATATATTGAATGTATATTTTGTTATTAGAAGTCTTGTTGTGTAACAGTTGTATATTTCTCGTGTTAGAATTCTATTTACACCTCCAGCTGGGAAGATTGCTATCTCAAAGAGCCACTGGAAGTAGCATGCCTGTGTGAATGTCCATTTACATTTTCGAGGAACTCCATCAGAAACCAGAATGAAACTTCAAAGCAGTTAGAAAGTTAGGTTCCCACCCATCTTAGAACATATCAATTGTATTTCATTTCCAAGACAGAGAATTACTTTTGAATCCAACACTGTGTATTGTTCTGCTCTCCCTACATGAAGGTCTAACTACATGCTTGTTTAACCCCTCGCCTACAGGACACTTATACCCCCTTCCTGCCCAGGCCAATTTCCAGCTTTCAGCGCGTCACACTTTGAATGACAATTGCGCGGTCATGCAACACTGTACTCATATGAAATTTGTATCATTTTTTTTGACAGATAGAGCTGTCTTTTGGTGGTATTTAATCACTGTATCAGGAAATTGTATCAGGAAATAAAAGATGTTTATACCTTTGGTATGATTGCTCTATGAGTAATATATTTAGCTTATTTTATCAAACATCCAGTCTATTGAACGCCCAACAGAAATATGGTGACGGCCAGGTGATTTGTAATGTCTTTGACATGTCATCTACTCCACCCATTCTTTGGAAACATAACCAGGCCAAGTCTTATCTATATAGGTAAAAACCGTCTGTCTGCATTTTAATGAAGAGGAGACAGGATTTGGAGGCAAACATGGTGGGGTGGCATACATTATTTACAAGGATCATCAGGACACTCAGGATTAGGAAGGTTGGAAACTCCTGGAATGGGGTCAAGCGGGGCAGACTGACACCTCATGGGGCCCCCAGGCAATAGGGGATCATGAGGCCCCTGTGTCCTTGCCCAAACTCAAAAAAGCCTATGAAAAAGGTACCAGGGGTATCTCATGGGGCCCCCTACTGACCTCGGGCAGTGCCCGAATTTCCAAATGGTCAGTCTGCCCCTGGGGTCAAGGAAATCAAAGAGTAAGCTAAAGGACTGGGGGCTAGAGATAGCTGTCAGCCAGAGCAGGCTTTAGAACCAGGAGACCAGACAAGAGATGGCATTCAGACAATGAGAGGATACGGTAGTCAAATAAGTTACCTTTCAAATCCTCGGAACACTGCACGGACAATGATAGTTTATCAGCCACATAAGTATGGCAGGGGCTGGGGGGTTAATTTTTTTCTGAACCATTCAAAGCTGGCCATAAATAGATCAAAAGTCGGCAGGTCCCTACTGAACTGGCTGAATTTTGATCCATCTATGGCCATTCTGGCTTGAGAGCAGTCAATCTCACATCGAATTGCTCTCAAACATGCTTGTTGGAAAATGTTGTCTCTGTCAGGTGGAATCCCTGGTGTCAATGACACAGTTGGGAGGATGGGAGAATCCGTTGTTTTTTTTTTTTTTTCGATTAGCTTGCTGGCTGATCAGAAAAAGACTGATATGTGTATGGGTAGCTTAGGATTGGATACAAGGTATAGTGTGGTATAATATTTTTGGCAGTTAAACCAGACCTTCACCCTCTTGCACTACTTCCCTCCACTCCACCCCTCCTTCCATCCTCTATACATATCGCACTTTTATTAAGCCAAAATGTCCAGCCCTGCCTATGGCAAATGACCTGCACTCTGCCCAATGTGCCACCTGGGATATGTGATGTGCATAGCCAACCATTCAGGAAAGGAGCTGGGGCAGGCCTATTGGCTCATCATTGGGAGGCCTGCCCGCTGAACCAGGAAGAGTTGGTGAGCTTCTTGATGACATTAGAAAGCACATGGTGGTGCAGGACAGAGAGTGAAAGGATCTCAGCGAGATGATGCTGGATGGGTGAGTATCTGATATGTACAGATCAGGAGCGGACTGACAACTCATGGGGCCCCTGGGCAATAGGGGATCATGGGGCCCTGTATCCTTGCCCAAACTCAAAAAAGCCTATGAAAAAGGTACAAGGGGCATCTCATGGGGCCCCCTACTGACCCCAAGCCCTCGGGCAGTGCCCGAGTTTCCAAATGGTCAGTCTGCCCCTAGTACAGATACCACCTTAAGGTAAGTGGGGTAAAAAAAAACATGGGGGGGGGGGGAGGAGAGCAGGGAAGTATTTACCACAAGGCAAACAAGGCATTTGCCTAGGGTGGCATTTTCCAGGGGAGCAGCAACGCCCCCTGGAAGAATGGACACTTGCCGTATGGGGACCAGGTGGGATCCGAGAGAGGCTGCAGGCTGCATGATAGTGTATGCAGAGCCTGACTCTCGTTCCTGGGGATGTCTGGAGCTGTGAAGGTGAGTGTCTTATCTCTTGTGCTGGGGGGGATGTGTAGTAGTGGAAAACTCTCTCTCGGGGGGGAAGGGGGGTTGTTGGTCAATGTCAGGCTCTCTCCTGGGGGGGGGGGCTCAAAACTGCCTAGGGCAGAACAAAACTTACATACACCACTGGGGGGGTGGGGGTTGTGCACGTGGAGATCCACTTTAATTGCTTCATTTTTTTCTAGAGGGCCATACATCCGATCAATAGGAGGGACAACTGAGTGAGAAAGAAGGGTTTGGTTCCAAAAGAGGGACAGTTGGGAGCTGTGTGAGCACTACAAACTATTATTTATTTCAGGTACTTATATAGTACTGTCAATTTACACACAGCCTTTACATATATATTGTACATTCACATCAGTCCCTAACCCTCAAGGGGTGTACAATCTAAGGTCCCTAACTCACATTCATACATACACATACTAGGGACAATTTAGACAGGAGCCAATTAACCTACCAGCATATCTTTGGAGTGTAGGAGGAAACCAGAGTACCCAGAGGAAACCCACACAGTCACAGGGAGAACATGCGAAACTCCAGGCAGGTGGTGCCGTGGCTGGGATTTGAACCAATGACCCGAGTACTGCCAGGTGGAAGCGCTAACCATTTAGCCACTGTGCTGCCCTAGGTGATGACCTGAAGCAATGGGATACATACAAGGGGTAAGAAGCACTGATATGACATTGACGTGTGCAGACAGGATACATGGAGGCTTACTAGGACAGACTGATTAACCAGGCCGGAATACAATGAGTGTAGCGACAGACATCGAACTGGGTGGAGGAAAGCAATCAGAAACAAAAGCATGATTAACACTCAACAGAGATAAAGCTCAAGCAAGCCTGCAAGAGTTTTTTGGTTTATAGTTTATAAGCCTGCAAGATGGCATGGCACAGGCTACAAGGCAAGATATTAACCACTTGTCTGCCAAAGGATTTACCCCCCCCCCCCCCCCTCCCTGACCAGGCCATTTTTTGCGATACGGCGCTGTGTTACTTTAACTGACAATTGCGCGGTCATGCAACGCTGCACCCAAATTAAATTTATGTCCCACAAATGGAGCTTTCTTTCGGTGGTACTTTATCGCCTCTGTGGTTTTTATTTTTTGCACTATGAACAAAAAAAAAACATTTTGAAAAAAAATCTATAATTTTGACTTTTTGCTATAAAACATATCCAGTAAAAAAATTTAAAAAAAAATCAAAAATCATAAATTTAGGCCAAAACATATTCTGTTTCATGTCTTTGCTAAAAAAAAAATCCCAATACATGTAAATTAATTGGTTTACTTGAAAGTTATAGCATCTACAAGTGGAGGTATATATACTGGAATTGTTATTTTTTTTACACTAGTAATGGCGGTGATCAGTGACTTATAGGGGGACTGTGGGACTGAGGCCAGCATTCTGACACTGGGGGGGAACTGACTGCCACTGACATCCCCAGTGACACCAATACAGTGATCAGTGCTAATAAAAAGCACTGACACTGTACTAATGGCACTGGACAGGAAGGGGTTAACATCTGGGGCGATCAAAGGGTTAACTGTGTGCTGTTTTGCTGTGTGTGTGTTTCACTATAGGCACACTGCTTTGTATGGCTCTGCTATGCAGAGCCATAAAAAGCAGTGTGCTGGAGCTGAGAGTGGAGTGATCGGTATTGTTTACATACAGACCTCTCCCCCGTGAGCAATTGCTGGCTGCCAGCAGGGAATCTCCGACTGGGACCCGGTGATCGACAGCTGTAGCTGGTAACGGCAGCGTGGGTAGGGTGCGCGCATGGCGCGCGTGCACCCCCCACCCGAAAATACAAAATCATGTATATATACGTGATTTTGTGCAGCCCTGCCACCCTGTAGCAGTAGTTATAGGGCGATCAGGGAGTGGTTAAGCATCAAATAAATGAGCTACAGCATGAGGCAAAGTAATACAGCAGGATGTAAAGATGCAAGACATGTAAGATTCAAGGTAAAAATCTAGTAAGATACAAGATGAAAAGTAAGGCTAGCCATAGGCAGGCCATAGACGGGCCGTCTATTGGCCGAATTTTCGGCCAATAAACGAAAATTGGTCGCCCCATTGCCGATGCTGCCACCCATGTCCACGAAAAAACGGCTGTTTTTTGCTGATTTTCCAGCATGAGCGATAAAAATAAATGAGGATCTACGAAAAACGGCCGACAGGCTGGCCCCACTAATGGCGTTCGGACGAAAATTCGGCCAATAAACGACCCGTCTATGGCCTGCATAACACACACAGCTAGCTATGGTATGAACAAGAGAGATCTAACAGATTAGCTTGGATGGAGGAATCTCCCCTACCAGCTATTGTATTCCTACAGTAACCCGACACCCGCCACAACAGTGACTGCATTCAATAGGCTTCAATCACTGTTCGGCTGAAATTTTTCACCTGGCTCCATCAATTCAGTCAAGTTTGTTGAGCTGAATGGTGCCAAACGGGCTAACCACAGCTCTAAGGAAGGAATCGGCTGAAGTACCCATGTGTGAAAACCCTCAAGGAAGCTGTTACCTGTACGGTCAATCATCTGCAATAAGAACAATACTAACTTTATGGTCGTATATATGCACACCCCTCGCAAATATGTGGCTGAGGGGAGGGGAATGCCTTGGCCGTAGATGATTGGCCCATACAGGTGACAGCTTCCTGGTTGGTTTTCACATGTGGCTTGTGACCCTACCTTCAAGCTCATTACTAATGCCTATCTTTACATTGTATTGAGATACCGGAGAGAACATAGTGGAGAGGTAAGAAATATGTGGTTGACAAAGAAACATATGGGTGTCACGTATCTGACGGGAGGCTGAGGTGATGAGAGGGCTCCCTTTATGGCTAAGTCAGGGGCGGGCTGAGAACTCATGGGGCCCCCAGGCAATAGGGGATCATGGGGCCCCTGTGTCCTTGCCCAAACTCAAAAAAGCCTATGAAAAAGGTACCAGGGGCATCTCATGGGGCCCCCCACTGACCCCGGGCCCTAGGGCAGTGCCCGAGTTTCCAAATGGTCAGTCCACCCCTGGGCTAAGTGCAATGCACCCCTGAAGGTAGTAACAGAAGGTGCAGTGCCCAACGAAGCACGGGTTGCCAATGATATAGATGCCTGGTGATGCCCGTTGAGACAACACCCGTGGGTGGACAGGATATCAGAGTGGGTTCTCCAGAGGACTGGCGGATCCAGGTGGATGGGCGAAGCAGGAAGCGAAGTCAGAAGCCAGAGCCAGGGTTAAACACAGAGCATCAATCAGGAGTAAAGACAGGAGCAAGTCAGGAGCGGCCGGGCTCATGCACAGGTCATCAAACAGGAATAGGTAGGAGCAGATCTGAGGAACAAGCCAAGTTTGAGAGCCAGGAGAGGAGCCAAAGCAGGTCAGGGTCAAGCCGGATCGGTAAAAGATAATCAGCAGGTTAATACACACAGGGAAACAGGAACAGGAGGCTGATGATAATCCAGCAATATATTGTGAGGAGCTGCAGTCCTCATAAAGGCCACTGGGCGCAAGCAATTATCGCGTCCTGTGTATGCCGATGTGCCGTCACGCACATGGATGCACGCTTGCGTGCCATGTGCCTATGTGCACGTGCACATTTTTGCGTAAATTAGGGCTAAATTGTCAGGGCTTCCTTGTTTCCTTCCCTGACAATGGGCCAAAATCTTTTTTTGTTTTGGACAGCATATCAAATTGGTAAAATGTCTGTCATTTTTTTTTTCTGTCTGTGCGCCTTTGGGCAGATCAAAGTATATATTGCCTAGTCACCATGGATCATCAAAATGAATGTCCAAACATTTATTTGAGGGCACGTCACACCAGTAAGGTGCAACATTTCAGGATCCCCTCATCAGGCACATGATGGCCCACAGTGTGCTAGTGATATATACTTTGATCTATGGTATCACCAGTCTCCACCAGTTGGTATCTGCTGCAGCACCTGCTTACTCTACGGCCTTTTCCAGGAACATGGGTGGTGGGAATATTGCGCATTGTCCTTTGGGTTGATTTTCCTTTACTTTCTGTCTCAGATTTACAACAGGATGTGAGAAGCAATTTAAACAAAATTAGGAGAAATCTCCTGTTTAGATAGTTGTCAGTGGAATAGGTGTCCCCATTAAAAGATTTCCTTGCACCACCTGTTCTGAAGACAGCATTAAAATGCTGGATTTCCCATAATTTTCTGTGCCCCTGGAAATGGCCACCAGGACAAAAATCGCCAGCAGAGACATGGACAGCAAAAAAAAAGTTGAAATTGAAGCACTACACCACTGCCAAAAGGTCCAGATAAAACTTTATTCCAATAAAAGTCAGGTGGACAATCCAAAAAATAGTGAATGCGTTTCAGGGGTCCAAGATCTACTCTTGGTATGCTGGTTTTTGCTTCTTGGATTTTATATGGTACCACCATACAGCCATGCATCCACCCTTCACAAGGGTGACCTATGTAATGTCTGCGTGGTATATTTGATGTATTGTTAGTAATAAAGACCTGACCATAACATGATTTAACATTAAAGTTCGCTGTAAACAAGCAGCAGATACAGGAAAGATAAAAACACTTCACTTTAAGACAGTAAATTTTCTAAGGCTGAGAGCTGTTCTACAAGACTGGGAGGGAATATTGACATCGATGAACACAAACATAAATGGGAGTTCTTCAAAAAGACTGTATGTGAACACACTACAAAAAATATTTTCATGGGTAATTAGTTTAAAGGGCTAAAAATAAAACCTATGTGGCTCACTTCCAAATTTAAAAAAAAGCTATAGCTAATAAGAAAAGAGCTTTTAAAAAAATATAATAATGAAGAAACAATATCATCATTTAAATGTTACAAGGAATATAACAAAATATGTAAAAAGGAAATCAAGGCTGCAAAAATGTAAAACAAATGACAGATTGCAAAAGAGAGTAAGACAAACCCAAAGAAATTTTTCAAATATAATAACAGTAAAAAGGTCAGGCCCGAGCATGTACAGTAGGTCATTTACAAAATAATCTGCAGGGGGTGACTGGGGACTAAGAGAAGGCAAATTTATTAAATCCCTTCTTCAGCTCTGTGTATACAAAGGAGCATGGAGGAGCTCAAGTCGTAATGGGAATAATTTTGACACATCTCTCCAGATGATCCACATTGGTTCAAAATTGATATGATCCAGAAATATTTAGAAAGAGTAAAATTAAATAAAGCCCCTGGACCGGATGGCATACACCCACTGGTGCTAAAATAATTGAACTCTATAATTTCAAAGCCATTGCTTCTCATTTTTAGGGACTCTTTAATGACTGGCATAGTACCACTGGATTGGCGTAAGGCCAATGTGGTGCCAATATTTAAAAAGTGGGCAAAATCTTTACCAAGTAATTATAGACCTGTTTGTTTAACTTCTATAGTTGGGAATATACTTTAGAGTTTAAAAAAAGAACACATAGATAGTTGAATCTTGATAAGTTGAAGAAAAAATTTTATAGCAACAGACAGCAGGGGTTCGGTGAAAGTTGAAAAGTTGTCAGATGGGTGACAGTGGATCTGGTTTACTTTTTAGATGGGTGGCAGTGGACGTGGTATACTTGGACAGAGGGGTGCCTTTGGATGTGGTATACTTGGACAGAGGGGTGGCTGTGGATGTGGTATACTTGGACAGAGGGGTGGTGGTGGACGTGGTATACTTGGACAGAGGGGTGGCGGTGGACGTGGTATACTTGGACAGATGGGTGGCGGTGGACGTGGTATACTTGGACAGAGGGGTGGCGGTGGACGTGGTATACTTGGACAGAGGGGTGGCAGTGGACGTGGTATACTTGGACAGAGGGGTGGCGGTGAACGTGGTATACTTGGACAGAGGGGTGGCAGTGGACGTGGTATACTTGGGCAGAGGGGTTTGGTGCAAAAGTATTGACACAGTTCCCCACACACGGCTAATGTGTAAGGTAAAGTCTACAGGATTGGAAAAATCTGTATGTATATGGATAGAAAACTGGCTAACAGATGGTATTTAGAGAGTAGTGGTTAATGATATACTCTGAATGGTCTAGGGTCATCAGTGGTGTACCCCAAGGTTCAGTGTTGGGACCCTTACTTTTTAATATATTTATAAACAATATAGGGTCTGAAATTAAAAATCCCATTTCAGTCTTTGCAGATGACACCAAGCTGTGACATGGAATAACGTCCTTACAGGATGTCTCCAACTTACAAGCCGACCTCAATGCTCTGTGTAATTGGGCAACTATGTGGCCAATGAGGTTTAATGTTGATAAATGTAAGGTTCTGCACTTGGGGGCTAAGAATATGCATGCATCATACATACTGGGGGGGTACAACTGAGGGAATCAATGGTGGAGAAGGATCTGGGGGTTCTGGTAGATCACAAGCTTAATAATGGCATGCAATGCCAAGCTGCAATTTCTAAAGCGAGCAAAATCCTCTCTTGTATTAAAAGAGGTATAGACTCCAGAGAGAGAGATATCATTTCCCCCGGTACAAATCATTAGTAAAACCTCTTCTGGAATACGCAATTCAGTTTTGGGCGCCAATTCACAAAAAGGATATTGGTAACTGGGGAACTGCAGAGAAGGGCAACCAAACTGATAAGAGGCATGGAGGAGCTCAGCTATGAGGAAAACTTAGAGCTGAATTTATTCTCTCTTGAGAAGAGATTAAGGGGGGATATAATCAACATGTATAAATACATAAGTAGTCCATATAGTGACAGCCAATGCACCTTAAGATCATCACAGGGACAAGGGGGCACTCTTTATATCTGGGAAAAAAAGAGATTTAATCTCCAAATACGGAAAGGCTTCTTCACAAAAAGAGCTGTGAAAATATGGAATAGACTCCGTCAAGACCTGGTTCTGGTCAGATCAGTGCATTGATTTAAAAAAAGGCCGAGGATTCTTTCCGAAATGCACATATTATAACTGGATACTAATATGTAGATGTAAAGTTGATCCAGGAAATATCTGATTGCCTTTTGAGGGATCAGGGAGGATTTTGTTTCCCCTGCTGGAGCAAATTGTATCATGCTTTATTGTTTTTTTTTTCCTTCCTCTGAATCAAATGTGGGTATAGGATAGTGTATACGGAGGTTTTCTATTTGTGTGGTTTTTTTTCTCTGTTGGTTTTACTGGATTGACTTGTGTCTTTTTTCAAAAAGATTAACTATGTAACTATGTATGACAGGGATTTTAACACTTCCACACTAAAGCCAAAAAGAGTGACTTAGCAGTGCCAAAAAACATTTTGGCTATACATACAGTACAATATATTGCCAAGTGTTTGTGGACACTTGATTATTACAGCCACTGTAAATGATGTTATTTGGCATTCCACTTTAAAACCATGGGCATTCATATGGAGTTGGCTTCCCATTCTGGTTATAACAACCTCCACTCTACTAAGAAGGCTTTCCACAAGATTTTCGAGTGTGTTTGTAGGAATTTGTGTCCATTCAGCCAAAAAAGAGCATTTGTGAGGTCAGGTACTGATGTTGGATGAAAAGATCTGACTCACAGATGGCATTCCAACTCAATCCAAAGGTGTTTTATGTTATTTTTAAAAATGTATTTCAGGTTCTTATATAGCGTTGTCAATTTATGCAGCGCTTTACATATAATAATATTGTACATTCACATCAGTCCCTAACCCTCAAGGGGGGTACAATCTAAGGTCCTTAAACTATATTCATATATACACATACTAGGGCCAATTTAGACAGGATCCATTTAACCTACCAGCATGTGTTTGGAGTGTGGAGGTCAGTATGGATGAGTTCAGGGCTTTGTGCAGGACACTTGAGTTCATCCACACCAAACTCATCAAACCACGTATCTATGTAGCTGGATTTGTACACAAGTGCATAGTTATGCTGAAACAGAAAAATGCCTTCACCAAACTGTTACCGCAAGGTTGGAAGTTGTCTAAATGTCATTGTATGGTTTAGCATTAACAGCACACTTTCATTGAAAACACCCAAACATAATTATTTGGAGGGGGTTCATATACTTTTGGTATAGGTAAAATGTGATGGTCAGATGGCCAACCTAAAGGAATACAGTCAGGATAAAATGATAAATACACTTAGCAGCCAGAGAAAAATGGGGAAAGTTTCCAAGAAGGAAGTGGTGAATTTAATACTTTTTACCTACTGTATGTGGAACTAATATCATCAAAACATTTCATAGTGACTCCAATCTTACCCTTGTTTATATGTAATAGGCATCATGAGGTAGGTTTGGACAACCAAAATAAAATTATTGCTCGACTTTTTGAAAGTGCCATACTCAAAGGTATATGATGAATGGACCAGACCACAAGACACCCCAATAAATGATTCACTATAGTAGTGCTTGGTGATTGACTGTTGGTTGGCCATAATACATAATGAGTGACTATTGGTTGGCCAGATAATATCACTTAATTATTGGGAGCACAAAAACCATTATCAAAACACACAATATATAACAGGATAGACATTTATCGGCCACAAAAAATCGGTCGTTGCTGCCACCAATGCTTACGAAAAACGTCTGTTTTACGTAGATTTTCCAGCATGACCGATAAAAAGAAATGAGAAGAACCCTGAAAATCGGCCAACGACAATTAGCCCCACTAACGGTGTGAATATCAGCCAGATTATTCGTTCGGCCGACAATTCGGCTGGTAAAACGTCCTGTCTATGGCCTGCATTAGCTGTATGGGGTGCAAAGACAGAAGTCTTCCCAGTCTACATAGACTCTCTCATCCATGATTAAACCATCTGAAGCAGATTTAATTGACTTAGCAGTGCCAGCGATAGACTGTCAATGATGGGAATATTCTTTATGCAATCAAATGGGCACCTTTTTGGTGAATTTGAACTTGGAATTTCTAAATGAAAGGCTTCCAGCCCAGCCAGCATGGTCAGCTTTAACATTTGTATGCTACAGCACTCTAATGTTCAATCTGGAAACAAACAGGGGCTTCTGATTTCCTTGACACTGAATCTAGTCCTCTTATTATCAAGCTTTAGTCTGCAGATAATCAGTGGGCATCAAGCATGAGGTGGGTAAACCATGTATTCCCTTAGTACAGTAAAAGGGTGCCATTGGTAAGCTGATCAGATTGCCGTAGAATGATTTGCCGATGTCCAAAGCAGGGGCAGACTGACCATTTGGAAACTCAGGCACTGCCCGAGGGCCTGGGGTCATTAGGGGGCCCCATGGGATGCCCCTGGTACCTTTTTCATAGGCTTTTTTTGAGTTTGGGCAAGGACACAGGGGCCCCATGATCCCCTATTGCCTGGGGGCCCCATGAGTTGTCAGTCCGCCCCTGGTCCAAAGTAGTTCCAGTAAACTGAGCTGCTTCGCAGGAGCCCAACTCTAGAACCACTCTGCTGATGACATGCCAGTAGTAATACAGTTTTGCCCCCTACCCACTTTTGCAGCTGTAACAGCCTTCACTTTTCATGTCTCACTACATTTTGTAGTGTCTGTGGAAATGTGTGCCCATTCAGACAAAAGAACATTTTTTAAGATTATCTACTGATGTTTAACGAGAAGACCTGGCATTCAAATGGCATTCCAATTTGAATGGTGGGCATATAAGGCCACCAATGACAACTACCTGCAAAGAAGGCTATTGTGGGATATGTAGTATAGGCCTCTGGTCTTCAGTGGTAAAAAGGAAAAAAAAATCTCAAATTCCTTCACATACTTTAAAAAAGAGACTTTCATTACTTTAACACCAAAGTGTGCAGAAGGCTGGGCAGATATATCAGCTGGGCACACTGTACAAACAATTATGCAACTGTAATATCAGATGGGCACAGCATGCATTAGGCTGGGCAGAAAGTAAAAGTATTGTTTTTTGAACAGCTGTGCTGTAAATATTTTTTCATGGCACTGTTGTCAACTGGACTGCATTTTAACAGGGTTAAAGGGGGTTGTAGGCACAGGGAGTCCTCAGCATCTGTATACTGGCTTAGAGTGGTCCGTGGACCATAGAACCTTCAAATCCACTGGTTTTCTCTACTGTGTACAGTGCACCCCAGTATGTAATACCAATATGGCCATTATTACACACAGGGGGTTATTTACTAAAACGGAGCGTGCAAAATCTGGTGCAGCTCTGCATAGAATCAGCTTCCAGGTTTTATTGCCAAAGCTTAACCTCCCCAGCGGTCTGATTATGTCAGTATTTCTGTGCTCAAAGCGGTACATTGTTTTGCATGGAAATATGTATTTTTTTTTTATTGTAGGCCTGTAATTTTTAGGAATAACTCACTGAAATCTGTACGAACAAGAGTCTAGTAAACATCCCGAGTATGATAAAATTTGAAACACGAAATCATAAATTATAATTTAATAAATAATCATAAAAAATAATAATATAATAATAATAATAAATTTAATTCAATAATATAATCAAACCAAAAACACTGAAATTTGAAATAGAGCGCCAAGTTTGCACATCATTGAGCAAAGTCGCAGAATCGTTTTCAGTGTCTGATGAGGAATTTCCCCCACGAATCATTATCACTCAATTCTGCAAGTGGTTCTGATTTACTATCGCTGTTCTCTAGCCGGTCTAAAACCGCTTTTGACCTAAAGGGACGCTTTTTGGACGCCATGGACGTTTCTCAGTTTCCAGGCAGAAAGAACAGTAAAAATGCAGGCAGGGCGCCGGACAAAGCACTCGGGACAAAATGTATGTGAAATGGTTTGATACAGTAATGTTTTACTATGTGATTTTAGTGTATTCAGTGAATGTCACGTTTTAAATTTTTTAAATTTCCCACTGGTTCCAGCCCCCGTACGTCCCGACGCTCACAGGGACCGGAACCTGGAAGACGGATTCTCGGCATCGGCCGGAGGAGATGGCCGGGGACGCTGAAGGGGGGACATCACGGGAGCGCAGGACAAGGTAAGTGTTGGACAGGGATCCCGGAGCAGCACGCTGCAGGGTGATCCCGAGTGTAGCTCGGGGTTACCGCTTTTGGCACTGATACTTAACCCCGAGCTACACTCGGGAATACCTCCAGGGAGGTTAATTGAACAAGCTGAAGTACAG